TTCTTAAGATGTCCTGCCTATTATAATCAGAGAATGATACTTTTTGAAAGTCTTCAGAGTTTAATAGAATTAGAAACAATGTCTCCTGATCAAATTTTGAATATTTTGCTAATTGGTGATAGGCAACTACCTTATAAAATTAACTGTTCAATCTTTGAAGCAGTCCAACTGTACATCAAGTCTTCAAAAAGATTTTGATAGTATTTTGTAATTACATAAAACATAAATCCAGATATTTCTTATTTTTCCTACCTATTTTAAGTCTCAGCATTTCCATTTTCCATGTATATGTTGTATCTTCCTTGGTAATTTGTCTTTGCAGTTTATTATTTTTCTCTTTACTCAGTGTCATTGATTTAATTTATTTACTTTTAAATGTTACTATTTCCTTCTATTTTGTATTTTTTTAAATATAAGTTCTTTGCACTTTACTTATTCTGTTTTGCTGTTTTGTTTGCACTTCTTTCTTATTTTTTTTTTGAATTTTTTTTTGTCATTATATTGTATAGCGAATATGCATAAGCTTAGTAATAATTCTTCTGTATAATTTAATTCAATTCATTATTTCCTTTTTCCCACCGTTAGTTAACAAAAGAATTTAATGTAACTTATAAGGAATATTTTCATCATTGTAATTTTTTGTCAGTTCTTAACATTTGTAACCTTGACCTTGGAGAGGACTTATATAGGCCATGCCTGATGTCCAATCCAATTATGTAATTTTACTTTACATAATAAAATATTGATTAAATAAATTAAATTCAACACTTTTGGTCTCGGGTCAGAACTCAACGTAACACAAGCGCTCTAACCTCCGCGCTACTCAGCTGGCGACTATTATCCTCAGAAGAAGACAAGACCAGTGTGTCTTTCTACACATACATTTCGATAAGCGTTGCACTCCCACCTGGTAGACAGTCATTTATTTATGACGTCGTTGTACAGTGTAACAAACAACGGAAATGGATACGACAAGAAAACAGGAATCTTCACCGTCCCAAAGTCAGGAGTGTATGTATTCTCCTGGACACTGGTAGCTGCTGGAACACACGTTGCAGGAACTAGGGGCAATTATGGTGAAATCGCAACTCACATGCTTTAAAATGACGTCATCCGAGGATCTCTTCATGTTGATACCGAAAGACATGACGATGACGGAACATCTGCGGGATTTGTCATATTGAATCTGGAGAATGGTGATTCTGCCAAAATATCAAGTGCCTGGAACCGTCAAGGTTCTGCTTTTAGCGATGAAAAATTTGGCAGATTGTTATTCTCTGGTTTCAAAATAGAATATTTGTAGTTTTAATGAAAAAAGTTCCCCCATAAAATAAAAAAAAAATGAATATTAATTTTGAATTGCTGCGTTTTAATTTTGAGTATTGTATTAATAAAATTTCAAACTACCAAATAAGAAATACAAAGAGAAATTTTCAAGTTCCTAATAAACGTAAGAAAAGTGTCAAAAATATCATGGTTTTTTTTTTGGGGGGGGGGGGGGTTTAACAGTGAAGAGAAAAATGTATTAATCTACATAATTCTATTCAAGGTAGAAAAAAATCAAAGGAGCAGATTTGAGAATACTGTACCTGCAATTAGCGCAATCCCGCTATCCAAATATTAATTAGCTAGAGTAACTAATAAACATTAATATATAAATAGATTTCAACTGGATACAAAGGTCTTCATACAGAGTATATCAGTATACAACATTGACCGCTACAGATAAAAATAAAAAGTTTACTTTCATTTAAAAAAAACACTTATGTACATTGTGCAAGTTTTTAAATCAAGATATTACAGAACTTAGATATCTGTAAAATAGTTTTGTATATTTATGACTGCATTGTAAGTTAAGTATATAATTTGCTAGATTCTGCATTGGCAGTGAAATTCGTGCTTCTCAAAAATATCTTGCTTAGCTAGACATAAACTAAATATACACTTGAAATCACATTAAAAGTTATATTTCAAGACCCTACCTCAAAGAAAATTGATGATTGAAGTTCGAGAAAACCAGCCATATACGAGGGTTGTCCCAAAATTCCGTAGACAAGCGTTGTTTTGTAGGATCCCTATGTCATACATTAATGAAACTTCGTATATAGATTAAACCAACACTATCTAATAAATTTATGGACAAATATGGAGTAACTACACAAATTATTCCAATTTTAAAGCCACATTTCATTGTCTGGTGTAGAAAGGCGGCGCAATACCCAAAAGTAGAAAATTGAACTTAATATAATTTATTATATATTAAATCCTTCAGAAAAGTAATTACTTCCCTGTATTTTTTTAATCGAAATGAAATTTTTCACATTGTCTTGTTTACTATATTTCCTAAAAGTTTGGTGCTCATGTTTAGATAAATATGAATTTTATAACGTTTTTTATAGATGGGGTTGAAATCCGACATTTTGAAAAATGGCTGCTGCGTTGGCACAGGCGGCGCACTGGACTATGATCAAGTGTTTTGATCCTGAATTCACTTTTACAGAAATGTACCAGTCATAAATTTTTGGTAGATTAGGAAAGATTCTATCGCCTTTAGTATTTTAAATGACTAAAACGGTTTCTCTATGTATATGTGAATAACAGTAACTAAAATAAAAGACAGGGCTAAGAAATGGGCTAAAGTTCCACTGTGCAACGCCATTACAGAAAAACAGACGTAAAGCCCGTAGAAATATAGCGTTTTCAAATTATTTTATTTCATACCTATACATGTATGTACTTTCTTTACCTATTTTGATGTTTGATCATTTCATAATAATTAAGATAATTCACATTTATAACTATAACCTTTTCGCTTAATTTAAGAATTTGATTCTGGTATTTGAAATATTTTCTCCAAAAATTTGAACCATTGACATTTGTATTTTTTGACGTTGCAGATTGCTCCGTGTGTTAGAGAACAGTATCACTTTAAATGTTATTACTCGAAAAGTTTTCAAGTAAGCAAGATAAAACTTTGTAATTTATCTGCTAAGAATACGCTTTATCCACTCTGAAAATTTTAGAAAGATACATTAATTTCTTTAAAAGATATGAGCTCAGTCTACGAAATTTTGGGATATATTGGGAGGCTTTTAAAAATAATTCGACTAATACTTAAGTGTAATCTAATTCAACCTGTCCTCTCAATCTGCCAAACCGTCTTTTTCAATTTTTGCAACAGACAAATGTGATTATAAGTGGTTTCCTCTTGAGAAGATTTACATTATCCTCCTGGGAGTTTAATGGTGGAAAAAACTAAACATTTACTTAAACCGGGCTTTTGATAGCTACCAATAAAGTTAACGATGTTTTCGATATTTTCATACATTGTCAAATGAGATACATAAACATGTACAAACCTTGAACCGAAAGGAAGTGTCGTTTTACAAAAGTTGGTTCCAAAACCTCCTATTACACTGTTTGACATTCGAAGAGATATTGTCAGTTGAAATCCAGGGCACCAAAAATAACTTGTAAGAGGCTACATTTATTCAGTTATACTTTTATCGAAGTGGCCAAGTGATCACAAAAAAGCAGGGTGATTAGTGGGTGTGTTGTAGTTTGTGACATGTGGCAAATGGACACGTTGTATTAAAGACAGGCGGCAAGTGCTATTAACAGTTATTGCCCAGTTGTCTTTTAGAGCTAAGTGGCAAGTGTTGGTATCAGATGTTACCAAGTGACAAGCAGCTAAGTAAATTGTGTAACCTAGAAACATCACTTCGATTTAATTTACAGGCATTAGAGATTATTTCTCTTTGTGTCCTTAATATAAAACAAGGAATATCTGTAAATATTAAATACTTTACACACTAGGTAAGTTTTAATTGTATACGTTGTGCATTCAATATAAGACTTAATTGGTAAACCATGTACAATTCCAAGTAGATCGCTGCCTGGGTCTTTTCATAGTACAATGTACCTACAAGAAGCATTTTTTAGATAAGATCTTTGAAATTCTTAAACAACATAGCTTCATCTGTCAGCTGTTTAACGATGCATACTTTCCTTTTATATTTCCTAGGAAAGACTGAGGCTGTTCTAGGGACTTAATACTGTTTTTGTTCATCTTTAGTGCAATCGGCAATGTGAGCAGTTCAAGAGATCTTGAGGACTACTTCCTTTCTCTGCAACTCTAAAGCAAACGCTGTCGAATAAACAATATACAAACTAAAGAAAGTAAATGGAGAATGAATATGGCTTTTACAATATTAAAAAATAATTAAAGTTAAAATTAACCTCGGTTTGGAGCTCTCTCTCTCTCTCTCTCTCTCTCTCTCTCTCTCTCTCTCTCTCTCTCTCTCTCTCTCTCTCTCTCTCTCTCTCTCTCTCTCTCTCTCTCCAGAGTGGAGACGTTTATACAGCCGTGATTTACTTGGGACATGGGACTAGTAAATAATAACTAGTAAATAACTCTAATGACTTATGTGTAATTAATTCTGTTTAGAATTACTTTTGTTGATCAGAAACATCAAGAGGTAGCTAAACAGAAACAACTTTTATAATAGATGAAGGTTTATTGCTTTTAACGTAAGGAAAATCTTTCTTCAATTCAGGTACGTGGTCCCACCTCTGGTATTTCCTATATGACCTTTTCATAAATTTGTATTGTTCATTTATTTTTTGCGATGGTCCTGCTCGTTCTCTATAACGTGTCTTAAAACTTTTTTTATCTGTTCATTTTACTCTAAAGGACGTCCATTGTGTAGTCCTTTAACTCGAAAGTAAAGACTTTTTTATTGTTGACGATGTTTCTTCTGAAAAAAAATAAGTTTTACGTTATGTTAAATATACAGGACAAAATAATTATTATAATAATATAACTCAGTTTATATAAATCCCACGTTCTTTAGTTGTTTAATTTAATTGTTTTATTGCGTGCACTTGTACACTGAACAAAAACCCTTTGGAACAGATGCTCTCCTCATTAAATATCAAGCGAAATGTATATATAAGAAACCAATTTTGTCTTTTTCGTATATCGCCGCTTTTAAATCGACATGAAAGTAAGTCCAGTTTTACTAATTACTGTTCTACCCATTTTCTTTGTTCCTCTTTTTGTAGCCAACAGCTGTAAGTCATATTCAGAAGGTAGCTGTGGAAGAAATGATTGCAGAACAGGTTAGTTTGGACTTTTCACTCGTTGTTGGCCAATGTGTTTAATCATCATATTAGTATTAACAGAATGTTGGATGATTGTAAGAAAAAGGCGAGATTTCCTTCATTTTTCGTGGTTTTTTGGGGTTTTCTGTGATAACTCTACATAAAACTTATACCCCAATACTCCCTGAATTTACTAAGCTGCAGTATAACATTTAGTATAAATAAAGCAGAACATAATATAATAGGAAAACTTTAATTTATCAAATTGAAATCTTTAGGCACCTTTCATTTACTAATTGCTGTTAAAGGAATAGTTACCGGTATATCTAAATAAAAATAGCATCAAATTGGTTTAAGGCCAAGATCTAGTAAATGATTTTAGACTAACTTTATGGTGCTAGATCCATTAAGACATCATAATCACTTTTAACTTTCCTTTTTTCGTACTTCACGGCTCTAATTGAATTTGGTAGAAAATAACTGAAATAAGGTACAGTGTATTTTCATAAAATTCAAAATGAAATAATATGAAAAGTTATTTCTATACATATATTTTTAAAAATATGATATCATTTTAAAGAAGAGACCAAAAACATCAATACAAAGTAACATTTTTCGAGAAACTGTAGGCAATCTGGATACATTTCCTTTGTCTCATCTTGAAAAAAAGTCCATATTCATAGCTGGTTTTCTTCATTTTTCATTTGAAATTACAGTTTAAGATATGATTTTCCATCTTCTTTCTCTTTATTATGCCCCAAAACATCTTAGTTTACCAAGCTTAACTGAAAGGAATTTATTTCTCAAATTTGATAAACCTGTAGGCATCTTTCATTTACCATGTTTACTAGATCTTGAACTTAACGAGAAGATAATACACACCAGAACAGATCTGATCACATGAAATGGTCAAACCACAGATGTGTAAGCATTTCTATGAATATATATTTGAATAACTTTTCTTTACATATTCCTTCAGAGCAAGACAAGACCAGTGTGGCCTTTTACTCAATCATCTCGAAAAACTTTGCTCTCCCGCCTGTTGGCAGGACGTTTGTCTATGACATAGTGGTAACTAATAACGGGAATGGGTATAGCAAGAAAACAGGGATTTTCACCGCCCCGCATCCCGGAGTGTATGTATTTTCCTGGACTCTTGTAGCGGCTGGGCAACATGTTGCAGGAACCAAGGGTGATTTTGGGGAAATAACAACTCATATACTACAGAATGATGTAATAAGGGGAACTCTTCATACTGATACTGAAAAACAGGGGGATGACGGAACATCGACAGGATTTGTTATACTGAACCTGGAAAAGGACGACGCCGTCAAAATATCTAGTGCCCGCTGGAACGGACAAGGGTCTGCTTATAGCAATGAAGATAATGGCAGATGGTCATTTTCTGGTTTTAAAATTGCATAATATTGTTGTTTTACTGAATAAGAAATTATCCAATAAAAATTTGAATTACTGTGATTTATGAGTATTGTCTTGAAAATTCATTACTGATTCATTAATGCCAATTGTATTTTAGAGTTCCACGCAAAAAGCAACAGTTGCATGAGTAACATTGCAACAAATCAATTAAGGATATCCGATCCTCAGCCAGAAAGAGTAACTCCAAAAATTAATATTTAATTTGAAATGCATCAGAATGAAGCTTGAACATGAATTTTCTTTATGCAACCATTTTCATTTATTCATCTTTACAAGATTCAACGTTTTTGGAAGTCTTAGAAAAGGTCTTATAAAAGTTTATATTTGTACCCTATCAAAGGAAATAAATAATTCAGTTTTAGAGAAATAAGATTTTCTTGAATCCAGCGTTAGATATCAAAGCTAATTAGCATGATATGAAATAAGAAGTAATTTCTGGTGTCTTGCAAATATAGCAAAAGCCTTTTAAAGAATACATAACAGAAATAGAAGAGAAAAAATACCAAATAAGTATAAAACTCATGACAATTTCTCTGACTAACTGTCGTTTTTTAACCTAATATATATCTGTTGATCAATTTGCAATTACAAAATACATTGCTAATATTCTAATTCGCTTTTTCTGCAAAAAAATTGGAGATTTGACAATTTTCCCCTATATAATATGATTAACTTTAATCTTTAACTTTAAAGAAATATTGTGGATAAATTTACATAACTTTGTGGATTCAGAGATACTTTTACGAGTATTTTTTAATAATTAACTGCTAATTTTATAAACCTGAGGATCTGACTACCTTAAAGTACATGTGTTAACTACAGTATTACTTTACCTCATTTCATAATGGAGTTATGTTTTTTGCTTACATTTGTAATAAAAATATGCCAAATGTATAGTGTATAAATAACTCATAATAATTAGGTTTCCACTAGTTATGATTATGTTAACACATAACTATAAATGGGTAACGTAAACTGCTTTATAAATTAAAGTAAAGAATAGATCTAGTTACATGTATATGCCAGGTCATCCCAGTTTATCCCTCCATCCAACTCTCAAACGATATTCTTTGTAAAATTTCTCCTACATTTTTTGCAGCAGCCAAAGATGTGGACAATACACATGAACTTCTACTCACCATACGGTACTGATGTTGAATAGATAGACGTTTCTTTATTGCTACAAACATGACAAAGGCATGGTTCTTGGAACATTTTACGCAGTAGCCATATCATCTTTTTATTACAGATGATGTCATTGTGCCTCGTTATACCTATTTTTTATTCATATGAAGCAGAATTTGTCCAAAATCTTATGCATGAAAAGAAGAAAACACACGGCCTTCAACTCGACATGTAGTCAATAAACATGATTAACAATGGTGACTTCCATTCCTATGTCCATACGATATATTCTTGTGAACTTGAGATAAAAGATACGACCGAGTCTGACAAATTTATTTCATATTTGGATATTTATTTGAAAAATATTTAAATGATAATGATTACACTGAATTGACGACGGATTGTTCCGTTATTTTTAGATCATGACAAAAAGCAGCCGATGAGTGTGATTCATATGGCATCTGATCCCACCTCTGATGTTTTGGAGGTCCGTGTTTGCTCTGCTCCTATTTTGTATTGCTTTAATTTATTGACTTTTGATATTGAATACTGTTCGTTATCTCAACGAGAAACTTTAACAGCACTGATCATGAGCAAAAATATATTCAAAAGGTTGTGTAAATCAGATGTGGATACTTCCCAGGAGCTTTTGGACAATTTGAAATCACAAGATTTTACCAAACCAACACCTTAAAAACTTACGTCTTTTCACAACCATTTTCACAACCATTCCCATGTTCCCCACAATGAATTAAAGTCCGGACTTTTCGATTTCTTTGACAGCTGATTTTTCAACAAAAATGGAACTCGTAAATTTTCTTGCCTTGTCATTGGTCATTTGCATAATTTATTTGGTAAAAAAACATTTTGTATACACAAAAGTATTCTGAAGTTGACATCAAAATGATGCTCGAGTTTCTGATTGACAATATTTATGTGGTTTTTGGAGACCAGGACTTTCAACAATATATTAGAATTCCCATGAGTACCAATTGCCCTTCGTTATTAGCAGACCTATTTTTGTATTCATATGAAGCAGAATTTATGCGTCAAAAGAAGAATACACTTATTGTGGCAATCAACACAACATTTAGATAGATCGACGACGTATTGTCAATTGACAATTGTAATTTCTATTCTTATGTCGATACGTTATATCCTGGTGAACTTGAGATGAAATCGCGTTAAAGGTTATCTAACAACCAAGCTCTTTGATTATTGATTAATTACCAAAGAGGACTACTTTATAAGACTTTTTAAACCAAAACTGAATTGCAAATGACATTATGTATAATTCACAAAACTTATTTTATTTCTATGCTTTAATTATATACTGAAAAGAAAAAGAAACGAATGAGAGCCTAATTTGTGCAAAATATTTAACTGTGGGCCGAAAATTTGTCAGATGTGTATTTGTGTTACTGTGCACTAAAATCGCAGGTCAAAATTACTCAACCATGAAAAGTATGGCGTTAGGTTGGGGAAGTGATAAAGAGGCAAAAAGGCAAAAACACGTGCATGTTGATGATGACAATTTTTTGATCACATTTTATAGTGCCAAGAGATGCATTAGAGTTATAGACATCGTTTTCCGATATTTGCATTCAGTATGAATTTCTTGCAATCATCACTGTATACAAAGTGCTAATCGAAAATCTACTTGATTTGGATCACTTGCTATATTGCTTTGGGTACTCTGATGAATTATGGGTAAAAAAAATTCTGCAAGCAAAATATGGGTAAAAGTAACTTTAAGAAATTAGAAAACGTATTAAACCTTTATAGAATCAATGTAATTTTATTTGAGAAAATTTTTAAGTTGAAATATGTTAGAAATTCGATATCATTCTCATTTACTAAGTCAAAATGGTATTTTCGCTCATTTTTAATTATTTCAATTGTTCTTAATTTTTTCAAACTATATTCTGTTGTAAAAGTTATTGTATCTTAGTTTTCGCCTCAATTCACCCACGAAACATCATCTGATTTCTATAAATTACGCTTTTTAGAGAAATTGGGCTATTCTTGTTTTGAGTGAATACTATGTTTGCAACATATTTTTGCGATGGCTATACTTTTTTCGGATCCTTTTTGTGATTTGCATGAAATTAAGATTTATTGTTTTTTGATAAAATTATCGCGATTTAAACAGTTTTGAAAAAGTATTGGCATTTATTATCACAAGAGAAACATTCAGTCGAAAGAAGTTAAACAGAAATAAATAAATATAGATTTTGATGAAATGTGCTATCATTGCTGGTGTTTGTGCGATACTTGATTTGCGTTTTGTCACGATTGATACAGAAATGCTATGTTTGATTTGAGAAGAATACCTCTTGAAGAATGAAGGCGTATATAGGGGGAGTATAAGTTATATATAGAAACCTGATCCATTCATATTCAAAAATGAATCTTTATAGCTAGAATCATTTATTATAATCGTACCCATTTTCGACTAAATAAGTCTAAAAACAATTTTCAATCAATATGTCTTTTAGAACAATATATGAATCTCATATGTTGAAGATGACATTACCGACAACATAATTTTAGAAAAATAAAACTTTTCCGTCATAGAGCGGGTGATTGTCCTCGCCTTGTACACCTTTTTTTCTCTCTTTTATAAATCTATGATAAAAAGATTATGATGCAACTTTAGTAATATTTCATCTATTTTTACACTATCATCAGACATCAGAACTTTAAACTAAGAATCTGAAACAGAATCTATGAAGATAAAAGTTTAATTAAAAGGAGATGTTTCAACAAGGCTGTTTTTTGGCCCATGTTTTTTGTGAAAAATGAAATTAGATTGCCAACAATTTTAAACTTACTTCCATTATTTTCAACATGTCTAATTTTGTGCTATGTATTTATTTTGTGAGAAAAAAGTTAAGATAATATTGGAATAAATGATCAAAATATGGTACCCTCAACCGCTTTAAACAGTGCGACATTTAACTCCGGACACGACATAGTCCAGACTTTTTACTACCATTTCTAAGTCATGTCCCAAAAAAATGTATAGCACTTGGTTGGATTTCTTCGCAGTATCACATATTCTCATGTTGAACTCATAAACATCACTACTTTAAAAGATATGAAGTCCTAAATATCAGAATCCCATGGGAGAATGGTGGGATTTTCAGTCCCACCAACTATCCCACCATTCTCCCATGGGAGAAAAAATGTCAGATGGGATTTTTTCCCTCATTAGGATTTTTTCTCCCACAAATTTGTTCAAATGGGATAAATCCCACGAATACTGGCAAGTGGAATTTTTTCTCCCATTCATTGTCAAATATGGGATAAACCCCATAGAACATGATATGTTGGACATTTACTCCCATCAATATTCAAATATGGGATAAATCCCATATGTAACTGACCGATGTTGCATCCAAATATTTTTTAAGTAATCAATATTCATATACATATTATCTAAAGAAAATACTTATTTGAAATTCATAATAATCATTTCATTAAAACATTGCTTATTAGTTGTAAAAATAAATATGTGAGGCCCAAGGTCCTTGAATCACTCTTCTGGTAAATTATACAATCTATCATTTCTATTTGAAGCCTCTAACTCTGAGTAACCTATTACCCCAGATGCATCAACTGAGAAAGTTTGAAGATTCTAAGCCAAAAAGTACAAGAGATATGTAAAAATAGCCATAAAAATGATAAAAATAGGTCACAATGACCTACTTTTTGGTCGACATTCTCCGAAAACCCCAGATGCATCAACTGACAATGTTTGACAAGTTTATGCCAAAAAGTACCCAAGATAATTAAATATAGCCATAAAATGATAAAAGTAGGTCACCATGACCTACTTTTTGTTCGACATTATACGAAAACCCAAGATGCATTAACTGACAAAGTTTGATGATTCTAAACCAAAAAGTACCCAAGATAATTAAATATAGCCATAAATGATAAAAGTAGGTCACCATGACCTACTTTTTGGTCGACATTCTTTGAAAACCCAAGATGCATCAACTGACAAAGTTTGACAAGTCTAAGCCAAAAAGTACCCAAGATACTCAAATATATCCATAAAATGATAAAAGTAGGTCACCATGACCTACTTTTTGTTCGACATTATACGAAAACCCAAGATGCATCAACTGACAAAGTTTGATGATTCTAAGCCAAAAAGTACCCAAGATACTCAAATATAGCCATAAAATGATAAAAGTAGGTCATCATGACCTACTTTTTGGTCGACATTATCCGAAAACCCAAGATGCATCAACTGACAAAGTTTGACAAGTCTAAGCCAAAAAGTACCCAAGATACTCAAATATATCCATAAAATGATAAAAGTAGGTCACCATGACCTACTTTTTGTTCGACATTCTCAGAAAACCCAAGATGCATCAACTGACAAAGTTTGACAAGTCTAAGCCAAAAAGTACCCAAGATACTCAAAATATAGCCATAAAATGATAAAAGTAGGTCACCATGACCTACTTTTTGGTCGACATTCTCCGAAAACCCAAGATGCATCAACTGACAAAGTTTGACAAGTCTAAGCCAAATAGTACCCAAGATAATTAAATATAGCCATAAAATGATAAAAGTAGATCACCTTGACCTACTTTTTGGTCAACAATATCCGAAAACAAAAGATGCATCAACTGACAAAGTTTGACAATTCAAAGCCAAAAAGTACCCAAGATGTGTTAGAATAGCCATATAATGTTTAAAAATTGGTCACCATGACCTACTTTTTGGTCCACATTATTCAAAAACCCAAGATGCATCAACTGACAAAGATTGACAATTCTAAGCCAAAAAGTACTCGAGATGTGTTAAAATTGCCATAAAATGTTAAAAGTAGGTCACCATGACCTACTTTTTGGTCGACATTATCCTAAAAACCCAAGATGCATCAACTGACAAAGAAGATGAGTGAACAAGGCAGGTAGAATGCCTATAGCATCGGATATTAAGAAATAATATTCAATATGTGAATTGGGTATTTAAATTAACTTCTCATTATTTAAATTTATGAAATTATGAGAAAAAATAACTTTTCTGAGAGAAAAAAAATCTCGTAAAAAAATTTCTTTTATAAAATATAAGATGATATTAGTGGGATTCGAACCCTATTAAGCAATAAAAATCCGCCCTATCATACTGCTTTGAGACTAACATGCTAACCACTATGCTACACGGCTCATGAAAATTTCGGACATATAAATCTTGTCTGTGGCATGACCCATGACTTAATGGACTTGAAGTATTTTTTGCAAAGATGCGAATGTTTTGTCATAAAAGTGTACTTTCAAGATATAGTGGGTCTTTGCTCCATGTTTTTGTAAACCAAAAAATGTATATTTTATTGCAAACTTTTAGGATTATCTTTCAAAATATTGGAGGGAAGACCCACTCATATTAAAAAATTTTGTTAAAGTATGAGAAAGTGATCCATTTTGTTCTTTTTAGTGTGTGTATGCTTTTTCGTAGGCAAATATTGTCAGTCTTATTGAGATTTTTGCAAATTATAAAAATTTTACATTAAATAAACTTTAATATAAGATGAAATATCAAATAAAATTCGGATATAATTGAGATTAAATTTTTCACTTCTTATCTGTCGCACTGTAGGCACTTCACCCGCCTTATCCAGGCCAAAATAAAATTATAGTTTGTTTGGAATTGCCTCATTGAAATGCCCCCTCCTGAAAAAATTTTATTGACCAAAAGTAGGAAGTTTTTTTTTTTATTCGGATATAATTGAGATTAAATTTTTCACTTCTTATCTGTCGCACTGTAGGCACTTCACCCGCCTTATCCAGGCCAAAATAAAATTATAGTTTGTTTGGAATTGCCTCATTGAAATGCCCCCTCCTGAAAAAATTTTATTGACCAAAAGTAGGAAGTTTTTTTTTTATTCAATCATTTTTTTTGCCCATTACATGTATCACAGACACCATACAAAACACTGAAATATAGTGTCAGATCTATGTAAAATTAGGGTTTTTTGTTGATGGTAGATACTTTTTTTGAAAGTCAGAAAATGTATGTACTGTTTACTGAGATTTATATCAAAAATTGAAAATTTATCTTCCAGTAAAAAAAAATTATTTCCCTCCCTCCTGTGTCTGAAACCCTTCAGGCGGCAATTCCAAACAAACAATCTTTTAAGGATGGCCCCACCCATCTTTTTTGACAATTCTAAGCCAAAGAGTACCCGAGATAACCATTCAGATGGTATAAATCACATATTAACCAACACCAAGTTAGCATTCTAAATGTTATTAAATTATAAATGAATTTATAAGAAATAAGACACCCAAGGGTCTTGAATCACCTGATAAGCCATAAAATTTCAAAAATAGGTCATGTTGACATTCTATTCAGTTTACGTTCTCCGAGGGCCCAAGTTTCAACAAATGACAAAGTTTGATGATTCAACACTAATTAATACCTAATATATTTAATAACCATAAAATTTTGAAGTAGCTCACAGTGACCTACTTTTCAATTGACATACTTTGAGGTCCAAGATGCATCAACTGACAAAGTTGGACGATTTTAAGCCATATAGTACCTGAGAAAATATTTTATCAGGTCACAGTGACCTACTTTTCTGTCGACATACTTAAAGAAACCAAGATACTTCAACCAATAAAGTTCAATGACTCTAGGCAAATTAGTACCTGAAAATATTTAATCACAGCTATAACATTTCAAAGATAGGTCAGAAGGACCTACATTTAAGTCGACATACACTGAAGACCAAAGATGCATCAACTGACATTAAAAATTATGATGATAAGCCAATTAGTCATGTAAGTACCTGAAATATTTATGAATTATTTATTATCATGTTTTTATTTATAATGACTTGGTACAACTATCTGTATGTTACAAGAGTAATTAAAGAATACAAGATATTCACTTTATAATTCTGTTTTACTAAATTCTATTATTTTAATTCTTTAAATTATAGGTGAATGGGCTAGTTACCAAAATGTATAATCATACCTGTCTATGTTATAATACACTCATGTACATATAGACGACTTTCACATTCCTCAATAACATGTTGTAAGCGGCCCGTGTCAAAGGTCAATCGGCGTAAAAGTCTTTAACCTAAGCGGCCTTATTGCTAAAACAATACTGAGCGGGGTGTCCAGTCAAGTCGTACACAAACCGAGTCGTACACAAACCAGGTCGTACACAAAAAGTCAACTCGTACACAAAAAAAGGTCAACTCGTACACGAACTAGAAGTCAACTCGTACACAACATTTATATACAATTGTTTTGAATTAATCCTACACGAATAATGTTTAATCTATTAAAAAAATAATAAACGCGACAGAAGAGAAGTATTACTTTTCTTATTTAATTTTTTTTGATAAATACTTAATTGGTTCAACTTGTTTGAGTTTTATTTACAACTGTTAGGAATTAATTCTATGTGAATAATGTATAATCCAGAAAAAAATGAGTATATTAAAGAATTTTGTTATAACTTTATTTTTAGATTTTTTTTTCAAAAAGACGTTGGTGGCTTGACTTAGATTTTTTTTCTTCTCAAAAATACGTAAGTGGTTTGAGATTTAAAATCAACCCGATTCAACCGTGGCTTCTCTTATTAGGTATTCATACCATTATTGTTAAACCAACACAAGCGCGGTGGTTTCTTAGATCTGTTCGGGATCTGCGGCAAACGCTAATTACGAAATGCTCCTAATTTGGTTCAAATTTCTTCATTTCTTAAGAGATTACGAGAGACATGTTTATCCTGCCGTATAACTGTCTTTTTAATTAGAAAAAAATGATTTCTTTTTAAAATTGTTTGCAATGATACGATATACCATTAATATCTTACGATGTATTTTGATCGCATTTACTATCTAACCTAAATTATGTATATAACGATATTCCCTATGTTGCCATAAAAACTTTCCTATCTAAAGTATATCACGCTTTATTTATATACTTACATTTATAAAAAGAAGAATAATTTTAAAATGTAAAATTTACATATCTTGTTGCGATAATGTTTAATAATTAGAAATCAAATTTAGTTGTCTATAAAGATATAAAATATATTTACAATTAAATCCACGGAATAAAGAAATAAATAAATAGATTTTTTAAAAAACCGGACTTCTCAGTTATGTCAGGGACTTATATAGTATATGAAATCCATCGTTATGTATTAAATAAATATATATCGAAATAACAAAAGTGTGTATAGGATATGCATGACCCTCGGATTTAATTACGCCGGGAAAATCTTATTAAAAAAACAAAACAAAAACAATCTGCGCAATCAGAGGCATAAAGTTGTTTTTCTGCTTCCAAGTTAAATCTACCTATTATTCCAACAGCTTGTGATATTTTAGAACATAATGCTGGGCAGCAATTTCGGAAGAGGATGGTGAGGTTTTGGGAGCCTACTGTACATGTACTGCAGGGTATGAAAATTTACATTTCAGTTGACTAATTATGTAATGGTCAAATTTGATTTAATAAGATAAAGTGTGTCATACATGTTTTAAATTATATGTTTGACACTGATCAATATTGTAGATTGGGGCAAACATGCAACCATGTTGCTGCATTACTTTTTCGCATCGAGGCTGCTAATCAGTATGGGCAGACATCATGTACTATGGCCAGATGTGGTTGGGTGCAGCCAAAGGTGATGAAAGATTTGGAGCCACAGAAAATATCAGCCTTATGTACCAGCCTGAAGAAATCTTCTCGAGCTAAATATGGTATATCATTAAACTATGATTTCATAACATACTTCCATATTGTTGTTTACTTAAATATTCTGTAGTACCGGGGTATTATACAGTGTCCTTGAGATACATAAATTTTTTTAAATTTCCTTAGATGTTTTTTTTTTTCATTTCATATACAAAAAAACACTAATGAAAGGCTAAATATATATCTTTTTTGAAAGAGATTATGAATCAATTTTGTGTTTATATATAATTTAATTTTATAGCTAAAAGCAGACCACTAGTGGCCACTGAAAAGAAAAAGTACAACCCTCTTGAAATTGAGGAGTCCAACACCGCCATACTTGACAGTTTGAGCATTGCACTTCGTGGTGTTGTCCCCGAGGCCTGTTTATTCAAAGGTAAATTACAACTAATCTAACAATATGGACTCTTTATAACAGGGGATTGAGACATATCATAAGTCTGAGTACAGTTGACACCTGAGAGCCCTTGTGCCAAAGGGCAACAACCCTACTCAGACCTGATAATTAGTGATGGTCCCCTTCTGAACAGTCCATGATTGTTTTATTATTATAAAGAATCTTATATTAAGATAGCATAAGATTAGAAAACATTAGTCAAATCATGTTTTCTTCTATCGACTGCTCCAATTCCATACTTTCAAAGTATATTCAATATAACTTTATCCTCACTGTTAAAATTAATTGTTTACCAATCCTTAAACAATTTTAATTATGTAATTATAAATATGAGTCATCTTGTTTATGACAACTATTTTAAACTTAGTGAAGACAACAGAGTTGTCATACTGATTGCTCGCTTGAGCTATTTTATTGTCATTTGAAGGGAGGCAACACAGGTGTCACCCTGAGCATGAATAAGACTTCACAAATTGTCTCCTCACATTTGACAACCTTTAAACCAATTAGCATGACTGTATAATTCTGAAATGTATTATTACTAATTAATTAATAAAAATCTATATAAGTTATATAACATAGTTATAAAATTTGTAAGATGGAAATACTTTAAAAATGTTTTCACATGTAATGATGTTCACTGACTAGTCTGGCACATTACTATGTTGCTTATCGATACTTTCCCGTGAGATGTTTCCTGGTTTGCCCAGTTGGCTTGGTACATCATATAATATACAACATATCTAGTTTGACAAGACGTGGATAAATTTTACACCAGTCAAAGACTTATTATGATTAGTTTTGTTTATTTACTTCAAGGTTTACCTCGGACTGGTGATGTTCCAACTTCAGCTCAGGAAGCAGAGGGAGCCATAGGATCAAACGAAGAAGATACAGGCCATGAAGACCTTTCTGTTATTGATAAATTTGATTTATCAACCATATCAAAGTCTTATGGTTCTCAAAATACTTGTTATGAATCTTTAAATTTTTTACCAAAAATTGATGATTATGAAATTTCAACTATTGAGAAATTTACTGTTGGACAACATGAAAATGAAAATTGGCACCGCTTGCGTAAAGGACGGATAACTGCTTCTAAATTTTATCAAGTATATACAAAAGTGAACTCTGTTCTGGATGGTCGTAGAAAAGATGTACAAGTAGATTGTTCTTCACTTACCAAGTCTATCATGTGCTATACAAAGATTAATCCCAATATCAAATCTTTAAAATATGGTAGAGAAACTGAGCCATTAGCAATCTGTTCTTATTTAAATACTTATAAAAAACAACATGTCAATGTGTCATCAAGAAAGTGTGGACTGTTTATAGACAAGAGAAATATTTTTCTTAGTGCTACACCAGATTTAATGGTTTCTTGTTCATGTTGTGGAGATGGTCTTCTTGAAGTTAAGTGTCCTCTTGTACCGGAGTGTAAAAAATGTAAATCTTTTTGTGTTTGTCATCTTCCAGAATATGTAAAAATTTCTAATGATGGTTTTTGTGTTAAAAAAAATCATGCATATTTTACCCAGATTCAGGGTCAGCTCGGCATAACAGGTCGCAATTGGTGTGATTTATATATATACACAAAAAATGGCCCATTACAATGTAGAATCAAATTTGATCAAAATTTTTGTTACCAAATTTAGTTATATTTTTCACTGATTACATTGTACCTGAACTATTACAAGGTAAACTTAATGAATGTCAAGAGAATATAGAACCTATGGATGTTGATGTGGGTACAAGTAACAGTTCTCGATATTTTTGTCCAGTGTGTAGAAACATCATAAAAGAAACAGGGTCTATTACATCCTATAGTGACAGAAGCATTGCTTGTGATGAATGCAATTTGTGGTTTCATTTTAAGTGTGTAAATGTAACACAAACAGTACTAAAACGGAAAGATAAGTGGTTTTGTTCGAAATGTTCAACATCCAAGTAAATTATGAGTATTTATTGACGGAGAAAAACTGTTTATTCATAGGGAGCGTTAAATATTATTTCATTGTTAGTTTGTTTGTTTGTTGTTTAATTCATTAAAAAATGTTACTGTGAATTGAAAAAATGTTTTACTTGTTCTTGTAGGTGCTATACATAAAAGAAAATTTTGGAATAATTTATTTGTATTTAGGCAAGGGAGGATACAAGTTGCAAATGCCAGCAACAGTTTTAATTATATCATCTAAATGCTGAACTAAAGTAGCAGGGACTTCATGCTTCAGAATTCTGAAATACTTCATTCTGCGAATGGCTTGCTCAACATATATACGCCTGTTTGCTATTTGCTTTGTTTGCTGTACTTCGTCAGCTGACATTTGGCAAGCTCCTCTACGTCCTGGTGGAACCATCAAATTGGCATGAAGAAGGGTAACCTCTTCTTTGATTTGGAATCCTCTGTCAGCCATGATGACATCATAGGGTTCAATCAAACTGTAGAAACCAGATCTATTTGTGATGTATTTATCGCTGGTTCTACCTCCCCAGCAGTCTGATATAAAATTAATCATCCCGGATGGGTTGATGCTGATCAGAAACTTAGCAGTATGATGGTGTTTATAATCTGACCACGTTTTTGTCTGCACCTCTAGATTTTGCGGTTTCTCTAAAAATACCTCAGTACAGTCAATGATATGGCGCACAGATGAATATTTTTTGCTTCTGAAGGATGGTGGTAGATTTTCACGCACTACTTCTTTGGATGGATTGAACACCAAGGTTCCAAGAAATTTGGATAGAATCTTGATCCATGTGGTGAAGATTTTTGAGATATGTGGAGCACTGATATTGAATCTGGTAGCTAACTCTTCATTCAAAAGACCTAATCTTAATTTCATAAGAGTCAATGCCATCTCCTCTTTTAATGACAGAAATCTTCGTGGCCCTGACCTCTTTAAAACCTTGTGTTTAAGGGTGTGGAACACATGCTTAGGACCTCTCCAGTACTTGGTTTTCTTTATCTTTGGCTCAATAACCTTGTAGATGGTGTGAAAAGCACTTCACGAAGGCAAACCAGTATGGAATCTTACAGATTTGTTACTTTTTAAGACTGTGTCTGTAATGGAAAGCGGTTTTTGCTTTAGCTTCTTTTGCTTTATTAACTCAATTTGGAGTTCATTGACTTTTAATTTGTCAATACATTTGATACAAGGATTTGCATAGTCATGATCACTTTTGCACACATAAACAGGGTTATCTTGGCTTTCAGATATTTTCCTTTTTTGGGGTGTTTCTTTATTTAATTCTCTTTTAGTTGGAGGTAAGCGACCCTTGGAGACAATAGATGACATATGCCCCAGATTTATGTTGGGATAAGGATGAAGCAGTGAGGGTGCACCATCAACAAAATGCTTAGAAAAAAAATCGCGAATTGTCATTTGGTGACCAGATGTTCTTCCCATCTGTTGAGGTCCTGTTTATGTTCTTTCTCCATACAGACCGTGCATGTGGATCGCGAAGTTCAGTTGGAAAGGGAAATAACTGAAAGGGTGGTGTGCATATGCACCTTGATGTGCCAAAATTGCAAGAGTGCATATCGCAAAACTGTTCTCGCCATTTTTTCAAATGATATCCACTGCTGTTGCAGTCTTTGACACAACAAACTCTCTGGGTCATAATGTTTAAAAACAAACCAAAAATAATTGGAACTCCTAAACTGAAAATTAGAAACTCAACAAAATTTTGCAACATACCCATCACCAAATGCTGAAATTTAAAACAAAATCATAAAGATTTTTTCAATATGTTTTGACAATGAAAAATTTAAAGAATGTAATTAACATCTTCACTGAAGGCTAGGGAGAACAGTCCAAGAGCACTCTGCATTGTATATTTGTTTAAACAAGGTATCTTAAATTTGAATCAAATTTTCTTCTTTAATCATTCTTTCTTAAGACTTACTATTCAAATTTAATACTTATAGCAATTACTTATAATTACATGATTCATAAGACAACATCTCTTTTTGTGTTTGTTTGGTTTGTGTGTGTGTGTGTGTGTGTGTGTGTGTGTGTGTGTGTGTGTGTGTGTGTGTGTGTTTTGTTTTTTGTTATACTCTGCTTGAAAAGCAGGAGGGTATTTAGTAATTGGTATATCCGTCTGTACATCCACCTGTTACACTTTGGGGCACCCATCTCTTATCCGCATCATACCACTGAATGAAATTTGATGAGACTTTCACAGAATCTTTATTACATATTGCCATTGTAACCTTTTGATCTGACACATTAGTTTGGGTTTCCCACAGCAAACATGGACACTACCATTATATTCTTATGGGGGGCAGGGGTATCATTTAGTGAGCGCATTACTCACAGTACCTCTAGTTTGTTTTTTGTTGTGTTTTTTTTTTTGACACATAAATTTTATCTTAGATATACATCTACAGGTACAATATTATGTATAATACTAAATGAGGAACTGCAGGCAGTTGGGATTGTTGTCCATAACCATGATAACTGCATACAGTGTTCTACCTATGAGATGTATGTCTCTTGGTTTAAATAAAATCTTATATCTACTGTAGTATAGATCATTAGATCTAAAATACTGCAATTATATATATGACATATCCGTTGAAAAAACAAAACAAAACATTTTTGTAGGATGAAACAAAGTGATATCAATAATTAAGGCTATGATTAAAAATATTATCCTGTATGAAACGGTATTCATTGATTTTGAATACTAGTTTATAATGTCTCTCGTCATGAGTGTTTACATAGGAAGAAACGCTATGCGACTACATTAATGTCCGATTCGCACGAATTTTGAATGAAAGTAATGGCAATTTATTGTTATTTAATAATTTCAGTAATAAAGAATTTTGATTTTCTTACGTGTATGGATCTTTGCTACAGAATAAAAACAATAAACGTCAGATTGAACGACCCTCTGTACTGATGTATTACATGTAGCCATTTTGTTTCTACTGACGCGATTGCATGTTTACGCCGATTGACCTTTGACCTACAATGGCGACGGTAATGTGAAAGTCGACTATTAAAATGAAGGACAAGTCCTAAGGAAACCAAGGATCAAGAGGTCTAATAAATCCATACAATATGTACATGCAGGTACTTGACTATATAAAACCTAATATTTATTGAATGTTAATTATTTTTGTATTAATAAGGCAGCTAAAACTCCTTTTTTTTTTTTAAATAATTAATTGATTTAAATTTTTAAGTTACTAAAACCTGAATGGCCTTGTGTTTAAGAAAAAAGTTTCTAATGTCCCTTCAATGTTTCAAGAACTATACATAAAATCATTTATTATTTTAGATTTACTATGTACATGCTATCACAAGTGAATCTATTCCAAAAGGGCTAAATTTCATTGAAAAGTAAAGCATTTATGCCCATTTAATAGTAATTTTTCATACAGCAATACAATTAATTGACAAATTAAATCATGTAAATACAACATGATGATGGATTCTCCCTATAATAAAAATTTAAGTCCTAGCTTTTACAATTTATCATATAAGATTAAGAAAGTCCATGCAATTGCAAGAAAAATAAAACCATTCTTGCCATTTTAATTCCATTGAAAAATAAAAAAAAATATATGGCCAATTAGAACACCCCAGTTATAATGAATGACTGAGTATAACATGATGATGGCCTCTCCTATGTAAATTTCAATCCTTTTACAATTTATCATTTTAGATTTAAAAAGTTCAGGCTTTTACAAGAAAAACAAAACCATACTTGCCAAATTTCAGTGAAAAATAGAAAAGTTATGGCCATTTAAGAGAACACACCAGTACGAGAGACTGCGTATAACATGATGATGGATTATCCCTAATATGTAAATTTCTGAATCAGTCCTTTAACAATTAATTTAAAATTTCAAATTAAGAAAGGTCATCCTCTTACAAGAAAAACAAAAGCATACTTGCTAAATTTCATTGAAAATAAAAAGAGTTATTGCCATTTAGGAGAACACAATCAGTATAGAAGACTGAGTATTATACTATAACATGATGATGGATTCTCCCTATGTAAATTTCAGTCCTTTTACTAAATTCTATTTATAGATTAAGAAGAAGAAGGTTTATGCTTTTACAAGAAAAACAAAAGTATACTTGCCAAATTTCATTGAAAAATAAAAAAGTTATGGCCATTTATGAGAACACACCAGTACGATAAACTGCGTATAACATAATGATAGATTCTCTCTTTGAAAAGTTCAGTCATTTTACTATTCTAATTATATGATTAAAATTTTTTTTAGATTTAGAAAATTCATGCTTTTACAAGATAAAATACACCAAATTTGACAAACTCTATTAATAAGTAAAAAAAGTTATGGTCATTTAAGAGAAATTGAAGATGCATTGTATTCTCTATGTAAATCTCAGTCCTTTACAATTCCCCTTTATAGATTAAGAAGGTTTATGCTTTTACAAGTAAACCAAAACCATACTTGCCAAATTCCACTGAAAAATAGAAAAGTAATGGCCATTTGAGAGAACACACCAGTACGATAGACTGCGTATAACATGATGATAGATTCTCTCTGATATATATATTTCAGTCCTTTTACAATTTATCATTTCAAATTAGATTAAGAGAGTTTAAGCTCTTACAAGAAAAACAAAACCATACTCTGCCAAATTTCATTGAAAAATAGAAAAGTTATGGCCATTTAGAAGAACACAATGGTATTTAAAGACTGAGTATAACATGATGATGGATTCTCCCTATGTAAATTTCAGTCTTTTTACAATTTATCATTTTAATATCAATAAGATATTTAAATTAAATAAATTAATGCTTTTACAAGAGTAAATGCACCAAATTTGCCAAACTCTTTTAAAAAGTAATAAAGTTATAGTCATTTAAGAGAACACACCAGTACAAGTATAGCATTATGATGGCTTCTCCCTTATTAGAATACCAAGTCCTTAGACCTTTCACAATTTTTCATAATAAGAAAGTCCATGCTTTTACAAAGAAGAACAAAACCATGCATACTTGCCAAATTTCATTAAAAAAATCAAAAAAATTATGGCCATTTAAGGGAACACACATTCAAGTACATGCCTGACTAGATGAATTAACTTGGCAGTAGGGATATGTTCCCCATGAAAATGA